AGTGAGCGTCTGAAGCTTCTGTAATAGCTGCGTATGAGTCGCTCAGTCGTCCTCAGTGTGAAAAGATGCATCTCAAAATCATACAGTCATTGTTGGAAAGGGTTCAAATACACAAAAATGCTGCAAAACCAAAGAATTTGTGGGCGCTGAGGGTTTTTCTGAAGAACAGCAGGTAGTTTAACTGTTCAGGACAAACAAGGGACTCGTGAACAACTATCACTAAACACACAAACACACAGCTGTGGATCATTCAGCTAACAACACAGTATTAAGAGTATTAAGAAAACTTTTGAACGGTGTCCTTTTTATAAATTCAACTATTTTCTAAACATCTTTTATGTGAAATATCTTATTCAGGTCAGTACTAAATAAACAACATGCATTTTGTATGATCCCTCTTATTTTGGTAAAATTATCATTTTGCAGAGTCTGAAAGGGGGGTGTAAACTTTTGACCTCAACTGTATACTGTATTATGACAGATTTTTTTGAATATTTGACACCGTCATAGCAGATACCTGCAGAACTTGCTTGGAATCAGCCGTCAGATACACCAGATCCTGCTGAGGAAACATCTCCAGGTGCGTTCGCTCGGTGGCCGTGATCAGCAGTTGATCCCATGTATGCGATCCGTAGCGTCTGCGCAGCTCGTGCAGATATGCGCCGTCTGGCTGCAGGCCGCAGAAGTGCAGGTGGAAGGGGTCCGCGGCACGCCGGTTCCAGCCCTCGCTCTCCATCAGCTGCGCGACGGTGTTCTCCATCTCCCGCCGGCTCATGTGTTGCTCGTAGCTCATATCGTACACCAGCGGCTGACCGAAGCGCATGGCCTGCGCCGCTCTCCAGCTCTGGACTCGATCCGCGGAGCTGCTCCAGAACCGCAGGAGGAAGGTGTTCTTCAGCTCGCGGTCTTCTTCCTTCACGCTCTCCTTGAAATGTGAAAATATTATTAGAATCCTGGATTTTAATTTGTGTCCCTGGAGCACAAAAGCAGTGTCAAGTGTTACCAGACACCAATGGAGAGCTTATTCATTCTGCTTTCAGATGATGCATAAATCTCAATTTTGAAAAAATTGACCCTTATGACTGGTTTTGTGCTCCAGGGTCACATATATAAAACCCTGGAGCACAAAACCAGTCATAAGGGTCAATTTTTTTCAAAATATACATAATCTTTCCATTGATGTATGGTTTGTTAGGATCGGACAATATTTGAAAATCTGGAATCTGAGGGTGCAAAAAAATCTAAATATTGAGAAAATCATCTTTAAAGTTGTTCAAATGAAGTTCTTAGCAATGCATATTACCAAGTTTTTTAATTTACAAAATATCTTCATGGAACATGATCTTTACTTAATATCCTAATGATTTTTGTCATAAAAGAGAAATGTATAATTGTGACCCATACAATGTATTGTTGGTTATTGCTACAAATATCCCCCAGCGACTCAACACTGCTTTTGTGCTGCAGGCTCACAAATGTAGTTTATTTAATAATTTTTGCATACTTTAAAAGTCTCAGTGTGGGATTTCTTCCTCTCCTGCTTCTCCTTCTTGGAGATCTTGTGTGACTCTTTAATGGCCAGGAACTTCAGGTATTTCTTCTTGGCGGATCTGGTTGCGAGCCGAGCGAGATCCTGCAGCTGCTCGTCTGTGATGTTCCTGGGAACGAACTTTCCCGCCTGATGCCACATCTCCACCAGCTCGCGGTTATCCTCCAGCGCTGAGCGACTCGGACTCTGGCTGTGGCTCTCCTCCCGCAGCGCTTGAGACCTCATCACCGTCTTCCAGGAGTCCAGATCCAGAGCGCTTTCTTTCCCGGCGCTGCGGCTGGAGCTGAAGACTCTGATGGAGACGCGGGGGCTTCTGAAGCATCTCAGTGCCACTGAACACGAGCGCAGGAACATCATCAGCTGCTGCGGCACAGAAACACCTGCGGAAGGTGAAGCATAGAGCTGTGGTTCTGGACATTCCTCGGGTGCATTTATAGCTTCATTTCTACAGACACAACATTAAATTATTAAAAACAAAGGCTTTATGCTGAATGTGGATACTTTAAAAATCACAGTTTATATAAATATATATTATGATTTTTTGATATATTTTATATTTACTTATATATGAATATATATAGGGTTGCAAAAAGGTGGAAAATTTCGGAAACGTTCCAAGATTTTTTTTTATTATTCCAGGGATTTTTGGAAAGTTTCCAGAAATTTACCCGAAATTTTCCACCCCTTTTCAACCCTAAATATATATAGTTTATTGATTAGTTTTTAATTTTTTTGCATACTTTAAAAGCCACAATTTATATAAACATAATACATATATTATAATTATATATTTTTATTGCATGCATTAAGTCACCATACACACACACACACACACACAGTATAATACATGTTATGTATTTTTCATATTATGATGTATATAGTATTTTTGGTAAACTTTAAAGGTCACAATTTATATAAATACATATTTAAATGTGAATTTAGTGCAAAAAATGTGTTTGTTGTGATAAAACACTTTAAAGTCTTCATGAAAATTGAATTTCTTATTTCTGTCTTTTGATTTGGAGGTGAAATATGACAATATTGCTGTTTTTTATTTTATGTTAACTTTCATTACGAGAACGAGATGGCATTTTCTCGAGTACAGTGTGGAAATATTTAAATTGTGATGAAAACAATAGTCAAAATGCAACAAATCAAAGGTCCTGTATGCAAAATATAATTTCTTATTTTTGTGTTTTGCCTGGTTTTCTTCTTCTTTAGCTTAAAGGGGCATGTTGTCACAACGCTGATATATCTATAACAGACTTGTGACAACTAGCCCCGGTCTTCTCTACATCTGTAATCACACTCATTATGAGTTAAACCAGCATACCATGCCCGCTGTATCCCTGCTTGTTCCCTCAGAAGTCACTGATCACTGATGGACCCTCAGAAGGACATGTGGATCTCGGTGTGCAACAATAAAAGCTGACCGTGCGGAAATCGGCATTGGTCTACTATTTAATGGGCTGTGTGTTATTGAATATTTTTAAATATTTTCTTAACGTTTGACATTTTGTTAGTGTGATTTAAAACACGTAATATCACTAAGAGTACTAACACGTTTATGTTGAGTTGCGCACAGAGTGTAGGAACTATTTTAACTATGTTTCTAGCCGGAGCTTATATAGCGGTGCGCCGCACGCTTGTAAACATCCGCTGGAGTTCACGCACATATTAAAAAAACATTAGAAACATTTCTATGAATGAAACGCTGAATATGAGCCCTGATGTTGATCTTTGGTGACACATTTATGGCTAAATAACCCACTGCAGTCACCGAAGAGTGGACCGAGATCACAGCAGTGCAGTATTTAATATATATAATATTGCATATGACAGCATTTTCTGTGTTTATATTATGTGGCTTTACATGAAGTATTGTTGCCTAGTAAATCAAGTTTGCATTTAAAAGCAGCACTATGTAACTTTTCTGTGTTTAAAATTTGCTAAATGTATGTACATCATGAATTAATCTTCCTAACTGCGTTTTTGTCTTATTTTGAATCACTCCGGTACACTTATAATAAGTGCTTATATTCGGACTATTGTAGCCTGGTCACCGCGGCGGAGTAACACACACCCGCGTGAATCGCCATAGACGCACACTTAGAGAAGTAGATCCGGTTAGAATGTTCTTCCGCGGGATGCGTGCAGTTCTCTTTATTGACCGCTAGAGCGACAAAAGTTACACAGTGCTGCTTTAATGCAAGGTCAGATCATCTGCATTTGGTTTTACTATTAATCATCTGACTCAGAAGGAAACAGGATATGTTTTTGCAACAAGGTATACAAGCACAGGATATGTGGTTAAAGTGAGAAGTTATTTAAGCTAAAAATAACTTCTGCTGAAACGGATGTTTCCAAAGAAGTGTTGGTAAACGAGAAAGATCAATTTAATGCACAAGATTCTAATAGTGAGATTTCATATTTTGACAGTGACATAATTTCCTCTTTAATTGCTCAGGATGATAAGTTGTTCATATCACTTATTTATTGTGATTTATTTCCCTTAAATCTCCAGATCATACCAAGTTTGTGGGAAGCTTTAAAAGCAAGCAGGACTGATTGAAGTGATCTATCCAGAGGAAAACTGATCGTCCGAAGCCCAAACGAGCCAAGAGACATCCCTAAATATGATCTACTGTAGCATGACATCTAGCATTGAGCCTGACCCATGCTTATAAATGCTCTGATGTAGACGTTCCAGTGGAAACATCAACTATCTGATGCACTTCTTTTGAAACTTTTGTATGCTTATTGATTTTACACTGACTTCTAGATGTTTAATAACACTGATGGTGCCACTCAACCATTTGTGCTTTCATAAAACAATGACTAACTAGACTTTAACTACGGTCAAATGTGTTTAAAGGAATAGTTCAGCCAGAAATGAACTCCTGACCTTAAGTATCGGATTCTGGAATTGGAATTGATTCTCGATGGAAAGGTGTTTTACTAGTACAAATGTATTTTTGATGTGTATTAATGGAGATGGTGTTTTCTGCTAATTTAAATGAGAATCACACACACACACACACACATGTGGAAAAGATTTGATAAAAACCTAAAGGTTCTCTTGTTTCCAGCAGCCGAAAAAAGGGACGGCAGAAGAAATAAACGGGAAATTCACTGCTTATTTTTTTTTTTCAGTCACAATGCAGAAACACACATTAATGAAGGAGATAAACTCTAAAATAGCAAGAGTGGCTATTGCTCTTGACACGGCTTCACGTGGTTTATTGCTTTAGTCATTTTGCATTCTTATGGATTACTTTAATGATTGTTTCTGAGCATTGATGGTGTTAGGATCCTTGCTGTCTGTGGAGGTCTTAGGTTTAAGAATGCTTCGATACTTGCACTGAAGAACAAGACGACGGCAGTGTTTGAATCCAGAGACTAAAAGAGGGTTTTCTAAGCGAGCGGTTGTAATCTGTGTGTGATCAGATGTGATTGAACGCAGTGGTTATGTATTAGTATACAGCAGCATCAGCACAAATGAAGAAAGCACGCTCTTCTTGTGGCCAGGATGTGGTGCGCTGATACTCAGAGCGCTTTAATACACACCTGATCGATATCTGCTGCTCTGAGGGGCCTGGCCCTCATTTATCAGGAGACTTCTGCAGATTGATAACGACAGCGTGTCATTCTGGAAAGGTCATGATGGTGTAGAGCCAGAGGGGTCACCTGTTCACTTCACGCAGTCTTTTATCAGATGCATGTATACATCTTAAAGACCAGTATGTCAGACAAATAAACAAACGATTTTGTTGTTGTTGTTGAAATCTCATCATTTTCTGAGAATGTTGAGTCTGTTTGCAAATTCGATTTTTTTTTTTAGAATTCTGAGTTTACATCTCACTTTTTTTGTTACCGTCATGGAATAAAATAACACTAATAAAAAAGAAAAGTAATCGCGATTTATTTCACAATTCTGACTTTTTCTCAGAAATCTTAGGACCATGTGATATTTCAGTTTTTCTTTTTTAATAAATCTGCAAAAATGTCAACAATTCTGTGTTTTTCTGTCAATATGGGGTGCTGTGTGTACATTAATGAGGAAAAAAATTTACTTAAATGATTTTAGCAAATGGCTGCAATATAACAAAGAGTGAAAAATTTAAGGGGGTCTGAATACTTTCCGTACCCACTGTATATATATATTTTTTAATAAACATGATTTCTTTGGATTCTATGTTGAATTTTGTACGTTTCATCACACGTTTAATTATTTATATATGTATTTAAACAAGAATACGTTTATTTATACACACATTTATTGATTTATTTGTTTATTTATTTAGCAGGTTTGGTCTTCCATAACCAGTGTTGTGACGCATTACAAGTAACGTACGTAATCAGATTACTTTTTTCAAGTAACTAGTAAAGTAACGCATTACTTTCTAATTTAGAAGGAAATATCTGAGTTACTTTTTCAAATAAGTAACGCAAGTTACTTTGTATCCAATGTATTGATTGACAGCTCTGGTGTCGCCATGGCGACAGAAATCAGAAGATGTTACTGTAGCTCTAAAATAAATATGAATATGCATTAATTCATCTCACAGATTCAGTATTCCTCAAAATGAATAAAAATAAACGCAACTCAGAATATGATGCAAACCTGCAATAATTCAATGTTAAACAACACAAATATGCTTTATGTATTTAATCCCATTCTATTAGCTTCTGAGCTTCGATGATGCAGTTCAAGCGTACTAATAATCACACATTACTCTAGACGAACATCTGTGTGTCTTTGTTTATTGCTGAAGTGTGTTGAGATGTCTTCTTCTGCATTCTACTGTACTTTCCCTTCAGCCTGAGGCGCATTCATTTCACTTTTGGTGTGAAAAGGCTTTATATTCGCCAAAAATATAACTTTTTATATTTTAAAAGCAAACAAGCAAGCCCTGTCCAGATTTTAAAAGTAACGCAAAAGTAACGTAACGCATTACTTTCCATAAAAAGTAACTAAGTAACAGTTACTTTTTTTATGGAGTAACGCAACATTGTAACGCATCGCTTTTAAAAGTAACTTTCCCCAGCACTGTCCACAATAGCGTATTTCTGCCACAGAATAAAAAAGATTTTTTTAAATCTTAGATTTTATTTATTTTTTGGTCTGAATTCTGAGCGAAAATAAGCTTCCGGTCTACTCTATTTTAGTTTATATAAAATATTTGCTTATTTAAAAATGTACAAATCAACAGGAAGTGTCAGCTCTCTCTGCGCATGCGCACTTCCGTTCGCGCCTTGAACCGTGTGGCGGGAATCCGGTGAGTACTGAAGGAGACGCTAGAAGCTCGTCGTGTCGTACATACACGATTAATTATCGAGCTTTGTTTGTTTTAAGCTCACCACATTTATCGTTACAGTGCTCCTTCTTCTTCTCATCAGCTTGTATGTACTTTAGTGAGAAAGCAGCTGCTGTTTCTATACTGCGAGCGACGCGATAAAAACAAATGGCGTCCATTAACGATGTAAATAAACGGAGTCGCGTCGGTGTCTTTTAAGCTACTTTATACTCTTTCTGTTTACCATATTCGTATGTCATGTTACTATAAAGAGTACCACGGTATACAAAGAATACTATGGTATAACCGTGCTGCGTACGTTATCTAAAAAATAGCATTATTATTTTTTTAATTTAATGTAAATTTGAGCCAAAGTACAGTAAAATTCTGAAATATTTTTACTATTCGAAACAGCTGTTTTCTGTGTGTATATGTGTTAAACTGTAATTTATTTCTGTGATCAAAGTTGTATTTTCAGCATCATTCCTCCAGTCTTCAGTGTCACGTGATCTTCAGAAATCAGTATAATATGCTGCTCAAGCTGCTGTTTCTATACTGCGAGCGACGCGATAAAAACAAATGGCGTCCATTAACGATGTAAATAAACGGAGTCGCGTCGGTGTCTTTTAAGCTACTTTATACTCTTTCTGTTTACAATATTCGTATGTCATGTTACTATAAAGAGTACCACGGTATACAAAGAATACTATGGTATAACCGTGCTGCGTACGTTATCTAAAAAATAGCATTATTATTTTTTTAATTTAATGTAAATTTGAGCCAAAGTACAGTAAAATTCTGAAATATTTTTACTATTCGAAACAGCTGTTTTCTGTGTGTATATCTGTTAAACTGTAATTTATTTCTGTGATCAAAGTTGTATTTTCAGCAGCATCACTCCAGTCTTCAGTGTCACGTGATCTTCAGAAATCAGTATAATATGCTGCTCAAGAAAAAACATATTTTTTTGTATTATTATTATTAATTTTCAGGATTCTCTGATGTGTGGAAAGATCCAAAGATCAGCATTTATCTGAAATAAAAAGCTTTTGTAACATTGTACACTGTACCATTCAAAATCTAATATTTTTTTGTGGGAAAGAAATTATAGAAATTAATA